CTGATATTATGGGTCCTTCCTAGACCGGATCGGATCGGTACTATAATCCCTATCAAATATAATAATAATAATAATAATAATAATAATAATAATAATAATAATAATAATAATAATAATAATAATAATAATAATAATAATAATAATAATACCCAAGCAGAAAACTAAATGACCTTAAATTGTTAAAGTACGTAATGTAACTAAACAAAATACGTAATGTAACTAAACAAAATATAAGCATTTCATATCCAAAACAAATATATATTATATCATGTCAAAATAGTTCAACATTTATCAAGCAGCGTCATCACCCAAAAGGGCTAATAACAAAGCAAGCATAATCCAGGAACACAACATAACAAAATAAATCCAAAGCACGCTCACAACCAAATAAGATTTAGTTTATGGCCAAATAGCGCAGCCACAAATTTTATTTAAAGCATAAATGTAGAAAGTAGATAAATGCTACTCCTTTTCTTCTTCTTCTTCAGTATCATCATCCCCATAACACTTCAGAATGGACCTGGGCGACCCACAGAACGCCTTACTCCTCACAAACTTATGGTAGACAATCGACCCACCCGATCCCAGCTCCTCGAGACTCATTTCATAAGAAACATAGCCATTTACATCCAGCAGCCCACAAACTTCATCACCCAACTTGCCGCCATACTCGGCATGCACAGACACAGAAAACTCACTCGGCTCAAAGCAAGCCAAGACCTTCTCGACCAGCTGGCCAAGACCAACACACTTCAGATTATAACCGGCCGCCTCAAAGCTCGCGTAGCTGAAGCCGTCTTCTGGAGTGACATGAATTGTCGAAATAGCCCCTCCCTCAATGGAGTTCATGGAATAACCGCACGGCTCAAATTCAAAGTCGCAGATTTCAGATTCTGGCAGGATGTTTCGTATGCCGGAGCTTTTAGTCATCAGAAGAGCCGAGCTAGATTCTTGTTTGTAGAAAACAGAGGCTTTGTCCCTGTCCAAACCGGACATGCACATTTCAAGCGTGTAAACAGGGTCAGATGCTCTGGCGGACTCAGCACAGGCCGAGTAGACGTGCCATTTCTGCCGTTCATCAGAATTTCCCATGACGTAGGCCTTGCTGGTGCCTAGATTACCAAAATACATGTTGAGGAGAGAAACTTCTTCAGAAAAGTTACGATGGGGGTAAGACTGTGCTCCAGGGAAGATGAAGCTCCCGCGTGTGTATTTCACGGTTTGAACCGAAAGAGAAAGTGAATCGGCCAATTTCAGAATGGGCGGGATGGAAAGAAGCAATTTTGTTGTCCCGCAGGTTTTGATGATAATCTTGTACGGATAGACAAAGAGGCTCGACTCAGAGAGGACATAAGAGTCCAAGTGTTTGTTTGACAGTGAAGCAACTATGGTACATTCGGCGGGGCCCAGGATTTCGTCCAATTGTGATTTGGAAAGGGAACGCAATCCCTTCCCTTCAGGATCAGCAAAGATGCTCGGCTCGAAGAAAGAGATTTCAAGCCTCTTTTCAAAACCTTCAAAACCGATTGCAGAAGCAGACAGAGCCATTTCGAGACAAGTGTGGTCAAAACAGCAGTGAACAGAAGACGAGGTAGCCGTTGGAGAAATAAGAAAAGGAGTGCAGGCAAAAATCTAAGCAAAAAAACTAGAAAGCAGTAAATTTAAAGCAGTAAATTTTTTTTTCACGCCAAACGACGTGATTCAGGGCTAGCGAAGGAATATCAGGACGGCTTGCGAGCGCACTGCAAAAGAAAAACCAAAATAGATTTTATTATTCAGTTTATTTTGATGAGAAGCTTGTGCAGAATCACTGAATACATGTATCAATGGGTTGCGGAGACTTACGTTGGAGTATGCAGCAGATCTGAATTTCTTGATGCCTCCGTTTGGTCGAATGTCCTCAATGCTGTATCCAAGGGGAGCTTCGTAGAATATGGATTTACTACTACTGGACTTCTTTTTCCCACCTTTAGACTCCATTAGATCATCAATTTGTTTTCTGCAATATGGCCAATTACAGTAGAAGGTGTTATGACTACTACACGAAGGATGGTAGGTACCATAACAAATAATTTATGCATGCAACAGCGCAAAAAATACCAACAAATATTTGCGCACGCAACAAAATATACTTCTTAAGAGACATAAAATTATACAGATAACAAAACCTGAGAATTCACTTGATAAATATTTGAAAAAACAGATCGGAGTAAAGGTCGTTAAGAAACTACAAGCATATGGTTATGATCTACCAACATTATATTACAAAACAGAAAATAATCATCACCCAGTTATTCATGGAAGCAAAATCATTACAGGAACATAAAATTTCTGGCCACCAATTTTAAATCACAATAAGCAAATCTCATCTGATTTCAAGAAACCCAGATCTGAATACAAGAGATGATCAGATCTACGGACAACAACAGTAAATCAAAAACAAGTTCTTAATCAAATATCAATAATATATATGAAACGTCACAAGCACAAGCACAACATATGGATTTCGCAAAACAAAAGCCACAAATTCTGCATATACAGAAAAACAACAAACGATGCAAAACATAAAATCTTCAAACATCAAACTTCCAGCAGCACCAATTTCGATAATACAATAAAAACGTGATGAATCAACATCAAATCAACAAGAAAGCATCAAGAATACACACTTACATCGATAAAGACTAAATGTTTTCCCCTTCACAAAACGAAAATCGGCGATCTGCGATGATTCCTGCAAAACGGAACAAACAAAAGATAATCAGAAAACACCATAACAATCTCGGGTCAAATCGCGATTACAGAAGCCAGAGAATGAAAATGCTCACAGAAAAGGAATTATGCTGCTGCGGCTGCGGAAGAAGAGGCTGAAACCCTAGAACGCGTGACGCTCCGTGATTCGTTTTCTATTGAATTGGTTTGTTTTTATTTATCTCCAGGGATATCAACGTGAAAGTGATGCGGAGATATGGGAACGTTTATATAGGTGGGGAATAGTTTCTTTCTATGCTGCTGGTGTAGGTTTGATATTACGATATTAACCTTTTGGGTACAACTTCTTGTTATTGAAATAGTTTAGGTTAATTAGAGCTCTAAACGCGCGGAGCCCAGCTCGAGCTTAAGGTGTCCGAGCTCGAGCTCGGCTCGTTAAATAAAGGAGCCAAAATTTGAGCTCAAGCTCGACTCGTTAAGATTTCGAGTTCTACTCATTAAGGTCTCGAGCTCGAGCCGATTCCGAGCTTTAACGAGCCGAACTTTAAAAAATTATAAGAACAATATATTTTTTAGCCTTATTGAGCCCAGTCGAGCTCGGCTCGTTAAAAACTTGAGCTTTAAATAAGCTCGAGCTCGAGCTCGGCTCGTTATGACCAGAAATTATTCGATGGCACTTAAATTCTCATCTTCAAAAGAAAAATTTAGGAAGTAGATGTCCATAAAAAGGCACAAAATCAATTTTCGTCCGCTAACTTGACCATTGTTCATTTTTTGTACACTATCTTTCCTCATTAAAAATGGTCCATTATGTTACACTTTTCATCAGTTTTAGTGCACTCATCCTGTGGCCCGGGATTACGAGACGACAAATCAGATTTTTATCCTACCATATCAATATCCTATCCCTCCACGTCTTCCCAATCTCGGTCCACGTCATCTCGTAATCTCGCCAACTAGAGTAGTGTAATAAAATTGATGAAAAAGTGTAACATACTAGATTATTTTTTATAAAGAGAAAGATAGTATACTAAAAATGGACAATAGACAAATTAGCAAACCAAAATTAGATTTTTGTGTCCATAAAAAGGAACAATGAGAAAAATCTCAATAAAAAGGAGATGGGGGGTTTGTAATGATTAGGAAATCTGAATTGGCGAATGAATCATAGTCCTCTCATATGACTATAATCCCCACGAATGGGTAACATTTGTGTGGCCTAGGCATGATTGTGACCTTTTTCACATAATTCTTTATAGTACCTTTTAGTTGCATTTCTAATAATAATAATCTAATAATAATAATAATAATAATAATAATAATAATAATAATAAATCAACGGCTACAAAAAATATTGGGACAGTTGACTAGAAACCGATAACATTGTAGAAATTTTATTTTTGGAGTAGAAATTTGTAGTGAGATTTCTAGAGTTTTTATTTATAAAATCTAAATTGAAAGATATTTTTATTTGACATTAGTTCGTCAGTTCAAACAAGCACCTGGAACTACAGATAAAAATATATATTTATTTATTTTATTTTTTTAATTGAATTTATTTTATATTCCATATATAAGATACTATGTATCTTATTATGGTATTTTATTTTGTAGGAAATCGGACTTGAAAGAATTAAATGAAGAAGAGGCGTGCATGCTAAGGAGATCAAGTAGAGAGAATGAAATATTCACTTACCTAAATTGAGCTACAATTATGGAAGGAAATCAAGCTTGGAGTTCTATGTCTTGTAGAAGACTTCAACCCTAAGGAGTTCATATAAATACCCTAGAGGAAGCTCCTATTGCGGCTGCTGAAGTTAGAGAAACTTTTAGAGCAATATTTGAGCTTCATATTTTCTATTTTTTTCAGTTGTACACAGTTCAGTACGAGAGTTCTTACAAACTCAAGAACTGAAGTTGATTTGTGTGTAGTTTCTTTGTTTCATCAAACTATCTTTTACTTTTACACTTAGGGAGTAAGTGTAGGATAAAAAGTCCACGGGACGTGGCCGGAGAAATGTTGATAGGATCGTGAGTAGTGTTGGCTAGGCTTGAAGGGAGTTCGAGTCTTTGTAAGTCCAAACTATGTCCGTGTTTGATCTATCAATGAAAGAGCTCTGAGGGGAAGTGAGATGCTTCCCTGGAGAGTTTTTAAATCTTCGGTTTATTGCTTCCGCATTCTTCAGTTCTTAATTTAGTTTGCACTACAAATAGCGCACTCCATGATAATTATACGTTTCAATTGGCACCAGAGCAGTGTTCCTGTTCTAACTACGGGATAAAGATCTTTGGGACTGTGTATTGGGCACCATGAGTCATGATGGGATGTCTGTTACGCGCCCTCCGTTTCTTGATGGTTTCAACTACTCGTACTGGAAATCCATGATGGTGATCTTCCTTCGATCTCTTGGTAAAGGCACATGGCAGGCTGTTGAGAATGGTTGGACTTTACCCCTCCAAGAAAAAGTTCCTGCTGAAACTAAGGGTGGTGAAACCAAAGTACTGGTTGAAAAACCAAGGAGTATCTGGACCGACGATGAAAATCAAGCAGAAGAGGCCAATTTTCGAGCTTTATATGCTATCATGTCTGCTGTAGATCCCACCCGACACAAGATAATAATTCAGTGCACTACCGCTCAAGAAGCGTGGAGGATCTTCTAAAGACAGTTTGAAGGCACAAACGCGGTTAAAACGTCAAAGCTCCAAAGAGTCTCAACTGAGCTCGATGAGATCTGTATGAGAGAGGATGAAACCATTGACATGTACTATGCTCGGTTCTGCGATCTAGTAAACCAAAGTGCTATGCTTGGCGAACCGGTCCAAGAAGCTAGACAAGTTCAGAAATTAATGAGAACTCTACCAGATAGGTTTGGGATCAAGATTACTGCACTAGAAAGTTTTTAGAGAATTCAGAAACTTGGTATTGATGACCTTCTATATGAGCTTCGCACTTTTGAAATAATCATGGATTTGACTCTATGAAGATAAGTAATGGGAAAGGCTTAGCGTTAAAGGCTAAGGTGCGTACTTCAGTAGCTGAAGATGAAGAATCCGATGAGGAATCTTTTGATCCTGATGAAATCACCAAGGCTCTCACTGTACTCACCAAGAATGTCTCGAAGCTAAAGAAGTTCCAGAAGAAAAGGTTCCAAGGAAACAAATCCTTTGAAAGTGGTAGGAACCAGCTTCAGCAATTTGGAGAAAAACGTTCCAGCATGCAACTGAGCAAATCTCAGAACTCGAACCAGGGTGTTGAAAAAGATCAATGTCGTGAATGCAGGGGATTCGGTCACTTTAAAAAAAATGTCCTAACTTCAAGAAGAAGAACAAGACGTTCAAGGCTACATGGTCTGATTCCAGTGACGACGAGGAGGGAGATTCTGAAAAGACTGAGAATTCTAACTACTCTAGTAATTCTGCTAAATGTCTTCTTAATGAATATAACTGTTTTACCTCCTCTGTTCATCTGACTGATGTTGAATCTGATGCAGGTTCTTATGCGAAAAACTTGAGCGAGGTGGACTCTAATGAATTCTCGGACCCAGCTGCCGAAAATCTTGTACTTCACAAGTACGCCATTGAAAAGTGTCTCAAGGCAAGGGATGTCATCAACAAGTACCAGGCTCAAAAATAGAAGATGAAGGCTATGGAACAACGTTCTGCCGAACGTGAAAAGGAGATTGACTATCTCCGAAACGAACTTCAGAAGATGAGGGTAATGACTGTTGATCTGAACGAGAAACTCATCAAATCAGACCTTCACATTGGGAAACAAGACAAGGACCTAAACAGTTGTTTCGCAAAACTTGCACTGGTTGAGCATGGGGATAAACTTAACAAACAGGCAAGTAAAGAACAAAATTTTACCATCGAATCTCTGCATAACGAATTTGTTTGCTGTGCAAAGTCTTGCAGGTGAAAGAGAAACTGAAATAGTTGTTCTCAAGGAGGAACTCGGTCGTTAATGGAGGAACATGTGGCACTTCGGAGTCACTGTTCTACCCTTGAAGAAAGGCTTAGCAAGAGTGAAGAAGTTGTCCGAATGATCAACAAGTCGAGGTCATCATATGCTGAAGTTCAAAAACTGAGTCAGCAGATTGGTTCATCCAACCCAAGTAAGAATGTCCAGAACCAGAAACTGAAAGGGAAGGTTGGAGAATCAACCTCATCACTGAGTAAGGCTGATCTAACTTTTGTTAAAGAAGGATATTCAATTGACTCAAAGAAAGGTAAGCCATACTCTCCAAAGGCTCAGCACAAGAATACTGGTAAGAACTTTGTACCCATTTGTCACTACTGTGGGATTCGCGGTCACATTCGTCCCAAGTGTTATAGAATGCATAATGATATATACACGGGTCGAATCAATGACTGGAGTCCTCATGGTGTTCCCCTGAAAGCACCTAAATTGAAAGTTGATATAGTAAATCATGAACAGAAAAAGATCTGGGTTCCCAAGGAACGTAAGAACGTCTGTCTGTCTTCCATACTTGCTTTTAAATCCACATCTAACTCTGACTGGTATTTTGATAGTGGATGTTCTCGTCATATGACAGGTTTGAGTTCTAACTTGACCAATATTATGCCTGTCTCTTCTAGTTCAGTAACTTTCGGTGATGGAGCAAAGAATAAGGTTTTTGGAGTAGGGTGCTTGAATGTTCCTGGTTTGCCCAGACTTAAAAATGTTCTTTTGGTTCAAAACTTGAAAGCCAATCTTTTGAGTATCAGTCAATTATGTGACCAGGTTTGTATATGAATTTTACTAAGACTCAGTGTCATGTGTCTGATCAAAAAAATAAACATGTTCTTACTGGTACTAGGTTCAGGGATAACTGTTATCTTGTGGAACTTGATTTGAAATGTAACAAAACCAGTATTGATTTGACTGAACTCTGGCATCAAAAGTTAGGTCACATTAATTATCCTCACTTGATTGAACTCTCTTCCACAGGGGCTGTTCGAGGATTGCCCAAGCTGAAGAAGGAAGAACCACGAGTTTGCGGATCATGTCAAATGGGCAAACAGAAAAGGGCTTCGCATAAGAGGTTGACAGAGGTCAGTACAAACCGTGTAATGGAACTGATACACATGGACTTGATGGACCAATTCAGGTCGAAAGCCACAGTGGTAAGAAGTATATTCTAGTCTGTGTGGATGATTTTTCTAGATTTTCTTGGTTTGACTTTCTTAAAGATAAGTCTGAAGCACTTGATGCTTTCAAAAAACTCGTGTTAAAACTTGAAAATGAAAAACGAACCAACCTCGTGGCAATCAGGAGTGACCGTTGTAAGGAATTTGAGAACCGTGGTTTTGAGTTATTTTGTGAATCACGTGGTATATTTCACCAGTTTTCTTCTTCTATCACTCCACAGCAGAATGGAGTTGTGGAACGAAAGAACAGGACCCTTCAAGAAATGGCGAGAGTAATGCTAGTGTCGCAGGGTATGTCCTTAAGATGGTGGGCAGAGGCTGTAAACACGGCATGTCATATAATTAATCGTGTGTATTGCAGGAAGGGAACCGGATTAACTTCATACGAAATGTGGAAAGGTAAAGCACCAAATGTGAAATATTTTCACATCTTTGGGTGCAAGTGCTATATCTACAATGACAGAGAACACCTTGGTAAGTTTGAGTCCAAGAGTGATGTAGGTCAGTTCCTTGGTTATTCTGCTAACAGGCGTGCTTATCGTTTGTATAATTTGCGCACTGAGGTAGTTATAGAGTCTATAAATGTTGTTTTTGATGATGCTCTTGAATGTGCTGTTGTACCTGATGTGATCAACATAGATGTGTCCAGTGGTAAGAAGTTGTCAAATTCTGAAACTGTGAATGTGCTAAATGATGTTAAGTCTGAAACCCTTGAATGTGATAAAACTGTGGAATCTAATGAATATGTTGTTCCAACGTCCTCCAGAAATTCTGATGAATCTCGGCGAGATCCTCCTGCCAAGATCCAGAAGGATCATCCTAAGGACCAAATCATAGGAGGATTATCTGAACGTAACACTAGAGGAGTTAAACCTGATTTTCGTAAGATGGCTGGTTTGTGTCACCTTGCATGTTATGTCTCTAAGTTGGAACCGAAAAATGCTAAAGAGGCCCTGTGCGATGACTTTTGGGTTCAGGCTATGCAAGAAGAACTTGAACAGTTTGTGAGAAACGATGTGTGGGAACTTGTCCTAGACCTTCTGATTCGAACGTCATTGGAACAAAATGGATTTTTAAAAATAAGACGGATGAATCAGGAGAGATTACTAGGAACAAGGCCCGCC